TAATGAGGCGGACCCCGCTGTATAGACCGAACAATTTTTGCCCCCACAGCTACAATTTTCCGTTTAATAAACCAAGTATAATTTTTGAAACAAATTTGATTTTTATAAATTAATTAAAATTGGACCCCCTGCCCTAATATACTTATTTTTTACTAGACAAAATAGACGTAGGTTTAAAACTCGGTAAATTAATATACTTGACTTTTCAGATGAAACTAGCATTTTTTTTCCCCGTGCGATGCACGGGATATTATTTCAAAAGTCAAAAAAAAAATTAATTTAATGCATAATAAGAAAATATAGTACATTAACATAGTAAAAATTAATAATATAGTATTGCTCATATTTTATATAATATTAGTTTTTTTTAAATCTTACATATTAAGATTTGTTATCCAAATATATAGGTTTACATTTAACAAATCGAATTTCTATCTTTATATATTAAGATTTGAGATATAATGATGAAAAATAGGAGATTGATAATTATTGAAAATTAGTATAGAAAAATATTAAAAATAAATAATTACAGAAATACCATTAGGTTTTTTTTGGGTTGTCTAGCATTTTTTTTAGGGGTAGATGTAATTATCCAAACAAGAGGGATTTTTTTGTAAATTAACCACACCTCAGGGGGGTGTTTGTAATTTACCCTTTATTTTTTTTGGAGACAAAATAGGTTTGAGTTAAACATCTATAAATTATTACATCAGAGACTAACAAAAAAATCGATAAATTTAACGGAATAGTAGATTGTAGATAATTTAATATATATCATCTTATAAAGTTTGAATGAATCGTTACAGTGTCGAATTATCATGATACAAGACATCGACGATTTTGAATGAGATGATGAAATTGGATCACTACTTCAGTTGAGAATGTTGTGAAGAAGTAATGTTTTGATTGAATGACGTGACAATTAGATCATCTTTTATTAATACTTACAAATTAATCGTAAAATGTATGTCTGATATACTTTATTGGGTCGACTCAACAACCTATTGAGTATTTGGGCCTTTGGGCCACCTACAAGACTCGATTTGTCATCCATCTTAGTACACTTGTCTTAGTTTTGCAGGTTTAGATGTTCATCTCTACGTGACATCGACTCCGACCCAGATCACCTACTCGCTTGCAATGCCATTACCTCGCGTTTCCGTTCAATCTACCCAAGGTATGTATTATCTTATAAATTTACCACATTGTCTCCAAATCAGGATGAATCAAAAATATTATTTTAACAAGATTATTAATAAAATGGAATATTAAATTATACAGTAATTCCACGTAAAAAACCAACATTTTTTCTTCAAATAAAACATATAAACTACTCTCAAATACATCATTGGAACATGTAGAACAACCACAGGCTGGAATTTCCCATCAACAAGTATAAAAATCACAAACCAGAGCTCTGTATATCACTCCCTCTAGATTCATGCTCGGAGAGAAATCTACGAAAAGGGACAAATACTAGTATATCACTCCCTCTAGATTCATGCTCGGAGAGAAATCTACGAAAAGGGACAAATACTATTTACTCGTAATTTATACTTATCGTTCTATAGTCAGTTTGTCGCAAACAAAAGCCATACCTCCGTTAAATTCCTAACTGCTGCATACTAGTTCAACCAGTTCCAACAAATAAGTATCGTTTTCCGATACAGACACAAGATTATTCCCATCTCTACAAACTGCGTTCACACATCGATTATCCCGGAAAAGTAACTTCTGTAAGAAAATAATAGCACAAGAACTTCAATCATACTCCCGTAACTCATTCATTTGAATCATCAATAAACTCTATAAGAAGTTCGTGGGCAACAAGTGTTAAGATAACAGAATAACCTCTGTTCTCCCTCTCAAGACAATGCCTCAATAAAGGGAAGAACAAAAATTATACGACTTTTCCAAAGTCTCGTATATGAAGAAGATGTTCGATCAATGCCACTATCTCGGAAATAAAGGAAAAGAAAACACCTCATAAGAGTTTTACTGTTTAAGTAGAAGACATCATAAACTAGAAATGGGCGCATTTCTCTTCGCGCAAAACCGTGCAACTGAAACCACTCCTAAGTAATCACTTCAGCTTCACGATAACAATGCATAACATTTTCACAGTTAACAGCCAACGACTATTCAAGAACGACATTATAACAACGAACTATCGTCAAATTTTCGTTCAAGTTATATATGCATTTCAATAACACAGCAATTAAGTTATATCAAGAAATATCAATTAATAGAAAATCAAAATATATGGGCCAAGTGCCCTCCAAGACAAGAAACTCCAGCAGCCGGAAAACAAAAACCATTCAGATATCGAACATCTAAAATAAGCCAGCACACAATGCATATAGATGGAATAGTATACAACTCACAGAAGCTGCTAAAAATCGGATATTTTTTTCCTCGAATTCGACCGCTCAAACTGCAGAGTGACTCTTCTTCTTCTTTATCTTCTTCGTATTCTCCTCCTTCGTCTGCTCCTTCTCCTCAATTTGCATATATTCAACTTCAATTTCAGGATTACCGATGCTATTCGCCTTCAGACCAACTTCAGCACTCTTACTCTTCTTATTTTTCTTCTTCTTCTTCTTCATCTCTCCATTCTGCAGATTCTGCACCTCATCCACACACGAAGAATTCGCCTCGGGATTATTGCCGCTCCTCTCCTTCGAATCGTCAACAGCAGAATCACTCCTGCTCTTCTTCTTCCTTTTCCTCTCCTCACTTGTCGAATTCTGCACCTCTACCGAATTAGGGTTTCCGCCGCCGTTCGAATCCTCCGCAGCTGCTCCATCCGAATTCCTCTCCGGCCGGTCCTCCGCCGGTTTGGGTTCCCTCTTCCGGTCCGGACTACTTTCGACATCGCTAGTTCTCAAGCGCTTGCTGTGGAACTGGACCAAGTTATTAAAGGCGTCGGCTGTGCGCTGCAGGTACAAGGAGACGACGGGGGAGGAGCCGTTATCGACGGCGGCGAAGCGGGAGATGAGCTTCGCCGCCCTAGAGAGTGAGATGGGCTTCGACGAAAGCAATTGGCCCGATATTTTCCTCATTCTTTTTTTTTTTGTGTTGGGCGGAAATGGAAGCTTTTTGTGGCGGTCGTCTCCTTCAAATATAAGCTGCTAATTATTAGGGTGTCTTTGCTTAATCATTTAATTAATTGGCAAATTATGGTTAGCCCCTGATAATGTCAAATTACGAAAAAAACACACTCGTATTTGGGTAATTACAACCACTCATCAACTATTTATTGTCTTACTAAAAATACTCTCATTCAATAAGTAAAGGATAAATTACGGCCACACCCCCCTGAAGTAAGGTCAAATTACGAAAAAATCCACTCATGTTTGGGTAATTACAATCTCTCATCAACTATGAATCTTCTTGCACGTCCACCATTGCGGTTAGTGGAATCTTCTAGATTATATGGTATATTCTCAAGTTTGTACCCGTTTTATATCATTCGAGCACGACATTTTGAAGCGAGATGATTATAAGATGTGTTTTTTGGCTTGTATATATCAAATTGTGGTGCATCAAAAACTGCGTTTTTGCACAAAACGAGTACAAACTAGAGAACATTCCACTGAATCTAGAAGATTATAATGAATTTGTCACTGTAAGGGTGGACGTGTAAGAAAATTCATAAGTGAGGGGCGTAATTGTAAGTACCCAAATATGGACTTTTTCGTAATTTGACATTACCTCAAGGGGACGGCTGTAATTTATCCTAAGATCAACTATGTATTGTCTTACACGCCCATCTTCAATTATGAAGAATATTTGTAATTACCTGAACATGAAGATTTTACTTTTCTTCATAATTAACCTTACATTAGGGAGTGTCCGTAATTTTCTCTTAATTAATTAATTAATTAATTAATTAATTAATTGTGGTTATATGAAAACTTGGGCCAAAGAATTTTCAAATAATTATGAAGAGCAAAAAACCAGAATCATAAAACCAAAGTGAAGCACTTGTAACGACCACGGCATTCAAATAGAAATATCGTAAACAAAAGTCGGTAAATTTAAATATGTACAAGCTCGTGTTCTTTGCTAGATCGAACCTATGTACATGTCTAAAGCTTTACTCTAAGGAACTAAAAAAATAAAAAAAATTCAAACATTGTCCGGCCAGAATTCTCTGAAAAAATTGCGATCGAATTCCTGCTCTTGCAACCGCTTTTCAAACTCTTCAATCTTCCTCATCTTTTTCGACTTGCGTTTCGGTTTACTTTTCGCCACCTGAAAATGATGTGTCAATTAGAACAGCACTAAGTCACTTGTTAACTCGGTTGATAACTTATACTACTAGTACTCATCGAACTAAAATGAAGTACTCGTAAAGACATTTGCTAGTTTTACTATATGTAAGTTCTTATGTGATAATCTAATTATCTCTGCTTAATTAATACTTACATATTAAATCTATGGGTAAATTACGGCCACCCCTGACGTGAGGTCAAATTACGTAAAAACCCTTCTTGTTTAGGTAATTACAACCACCCCTCAACTATGAATATTCTTACACGTTCACCCTTGCGGTGTCAAATTTGGTGAAATCTTCTAGATTATGTAAATATTTCCCAGTTTGTACCCGTTTTACACCATTTCGAGCTCCATATTTTGAAACAAGATGATCATAAGATGTGTCTCTTGGCTTAAAATATCGGATTGTTTGTAAATATCGGATTGTGGTGCATAAAAAACTACATATTTGCACAAAACGAGTACAAACTAGAGAATATTCCACAAAATCTAGAATACTATGTTGAATTTGCCACTATAAGAATGGGCGTGTAATCATAGTTCGGGTGGTTGAAATTACCCAACCAAGAGGGTATTTTCGTAATTTGACTTTCCCTCAAGGGGTGGCCATAATTTACCGTAAAGTAATACAGACATACCACAGGGGCCACAAATTCATTCAAGCTTTACAGAAGAGTAAATGTAGTAGCATATTGAAACGAAAAACCAAAAATAATCTTCCAAGGAAAAGGCAAAACTTACTTTTGCATCTTCTCCATTATGTGGTTTCGGTTGATCAGTTGACTTCTTCGGTTTGTCTGCTCCCAAACCCCGTTTATTTTTCTTAATGAACGCTTCTATGGGCTCTAGCCTGCCCTGCATCGAACAATGAAAATCGATCAGGAGAGTACATACGAGCTTGTTCTATGTAAACAAACATATAATAAGCGTGTGTGCAAAACGTAAATGAATAAGATCCACATACTTGCACGAAAAATAAGTATAATAAACCAATTTCGTATTCGAAATTTCATGAGTTGAATAGCATCTGTTCTCACCAAAAAATGACGAAACCAAAGAAAATCGTTAAGAAAATCGCTAAGTTGACTACACATGGAAGAATTTTTTGACTTTAGACAAACCCGTGTCATCATGTATATCAGTAATACAAGTAAAATAATTCGATACATTTTCCACAAATTTCGACATCATAATATACTCAAACTAGACGAATACAAGATGCATGCTCAGTGTAGTTCAAATACTAATTGAGAGATCGTAATTCTTGAATCATCTTGATCACTCTTTTCTAAATAGTATCGAACTTCAACCAGTTCCAGCAAAAATCCCATCTTTACACTAAGAACTGCGTAAAACCAAAACGATAACCAGAAAATCTCAAACACTATCATCACGACGTCAAACGGTGACGAGATTTCTGTAAAAGCAAAACAATACTGAGGAACTAGCAACTATGTCTGAAAAGGTACAACCCACTCATCCGTTTTCTATTTCCTCGTAAATTTTAACACGAAAACCCGAGCAAATAAAAATAAAATAATCCCATATGAAGCAAACAAACCCTAATATTAGCAGAGAGTGTAATTAAAAAAATAGATTATATCAAATCCACAAAAAAAGAGTAACTTTTCAAAACAGTACGTATGTATAAAACAAACCTGTTGGGAAACACCAAGGCCAGTCCCTTCTTTCCAACCCTGCTTCTTCAAAAGCTGAATTCATATAACAAATAAGTAAAGTCAGAATCTTGAAAACAAATTACATACACGAGAGAGAGAGAGAGAGAGAGAGAGAGAGAGAGAGAGAGAGAGAGAGAGAGAGGAGGAAAAGAGGAGAGAGAGCACGTTAATTTCATACCCGGAAACCAATATTCGACGAATCTATTGGGATCGAAGCAGAAGAAGCCATACTTGGAGGAGCTGTACTCATCACACCCAATCCAATAGAGGAACATTCATCAATCGCAATTTCCATTCGTCTACCAACGATTTAAGATAACCCAAAACTATATATTGGCGATTTTTCGAAGGAAAAATATCTGAATGTTGCTAATGAATTTTCATGAATAATGTATACGGTAGTCTTTGAAATCAATTTGGGTGCCGAAAGAAATAGCCCTAAATACAAAGAGGGGAAAAGGGGTCGGCGAAATAATAGCCAATTGAACCTCAAATTGTTTGGAATTACACATCACTCCTAGTTATTTCATTATTTATATATAGATCCTCGATATTAAATAATAGCCAATTGGGTCCTCCATTTTGAGTGTTTTCTAAGAAGGGGTATTACAAATAAGTTAATGACGGGCAACTTATTCATATATAGGGGCATCTTCGAATTGTTTTTACAAAAAAGTCCAGATAAAGACTACATGTGTGTAAAATGACTCTAAAATATCCCATCACATTTTAATGTACCACAGTTTCATCTATTTAACCCAAATTTCACAAATTATTCAATTTTGACCCGTAACTTAATTTTAACTCTACCAACATTTTTTGACCCCGTAAAAACAGTAATATTGCTATATAACTATCTAGTACGTTAATATTAACACAACAAAATCATTATGTTATATAATAAATTATTGTATAATATGGTAATATTATTATGTATACCAGTCAACAAAGACAAACAAAAAAACACTAAAAATGTAATATTACAATACTAGACAGTAATATTAATGTGTTTACAGTATTACTGTAAACGGTTTGCGGAGGGTTGGGGGGAAAAAACGCCGACCTCCCACAGCGGAAAAAAAGTTTGGAAAAAGTCAAAATTAATTTTTTATGGTCAAAATCGACGAAATCAAGATTAAATTAAGATTACAATTACGAATTGAGTTTAGAGGGTTGTCGGTAATTTTACCATAAACATTAAATTTACCTTCGTTTATCATTTTATCATTTTAAGTTAAAATGATAAGCTTATTAACAAAATAAATAAAACACTTAAATCTAGATTAATAAAGGTTCTTGATTAAAAACTTCTCACAAAAACCCGTATAAGCAATATAATGTTATATTATTAAGGGTTAAATTCAATTTACACCATAAAGTATACATTCTGTAATACTTATCACTTAAAGTATTATTTGTATACACTTATTCATCAAACACAATTTTATTTGTATTTTTAATTCTAATACCTTAAAATTTTCTCTTTTATTGAAAGGACTAACTAAAAGAATAATTACATCACAAAATTAAAATTATCTATTAAAAAATGCAAAATTTAAAAACGTTGGGTACACATTTAATAAATAATATCTAATTGT